CGGAGGCAAAGTGTTTCCTTCTCCATCCAACTCTAAATCAAGCACAAGGTTCCTATTTCACATTGGCTGCAGTAAAAGTCCTTCCTCTTTATTAGTGTTCGTGTCTAGCTGATAATCCAGGCTTGCATGGGCAATAAAGTTTAATAAAAAAGAATCAGCTGAGAACATTTTCAGAATTTACGGCTGGTTTTATTCACTAAATTGAGTTAGAGAGTACAGAATGAGGTTTTGATATATGTTTTGCCTTTTTGCTTGCTCATTTTGAGCGAGTCTAAGCTAGCATAATTTAAATAAAATAACTTAAGGTTTCCCAAGTATTTGCTATATCTCTGCTACTGGAAGAAAGGGAGGCAGTGGACATTTTTGTATGAATGGCTTTCAATATTTAAATAAATTAATAAAACCTAAAATTATTTTTATGCTAAACTAGCATTATTTAAATGTAATAATGCGAGTGAGGACACTAGCATAGCGCACAGTATTTACAGCAACGTCAAAGCTAAGGTTCACAGAGGACTTCTAAAATGCAGCAGTGTGATAGATGCCTGGAGAGAGGTTTGAGTACATTAATCTATTCTTTCTAAATGGTTTCCAGGCTCACAGTGGGGTTTTTGTATAATGTATAATGCAGGTTGAATTGGAAAGACAAGACTGGAACTGACTTCCTGGTTTCTGTCCCCAGCTCTTTCAGGCAGCCATGCCATACAATGTCCTTTATGCCCTTCAGTCGACTCTAATCAGCGTAAAAATAATGGACTGTGTGCAGTGTCTCAAGTGAACTTCCTCAGGGCTCAGAACAACCTCTTAGCACCTTCTGCCCATCTCAGCAATGTATTAGGACTTTACCTGGAAACCTCAGTCTTCCTTTTAACAAATCTTTCCTACTATTTTCTTCCCCTTTTCTTTCATTGCTCTTCTGATCTTCCATTAGTTTCTCTTTCCTCACTTGTTTTTGCTTAGCTATTGCTTTTCTTTTTCCTGCTTACCAGTCATCCAGAATCAAGGCACCTGACAGAAGTCTCTTTAATCTAGAGCCTGACTACTCAGCACTGTTTAAAGCGAGCACAATCTGGCCATTACTTATTAAAAGCAGAGCTCTCAACTAATACCTGGAGAAGAAATCATGGAAATATCAAAAGGAAAATGTTACATGTCACAAGATGTTCCTGGCAATAGTTTTCGTATTTTAGAGTAGCCTCTCGTAGGAAAATGAGATCCTCTTGCTTGGGTTATCTAAGATGGCATTGCACATACCATTAGGGAAAGTACCTTGTTAGCTCCCAAGAAGCTGATCAGATCATGTAGCCAGTCTTTGGCACATCCATTCCCTAACTGTACGAAATTAGTTAAACGTTTGGGTGTTTTTTGAAAGGCAAAATAGTTAAATATCAATAAAATAGGAAGATGAGCTCCTCAGGAGCAAAGTACAAAAAAACTCACCAATGACTCATATCGCATGACTAATCTGCCTTGTAATCCTTCTTTCACTCTCACATTTGAGCACTGTGCACTACGATTAGGAATTTCAGCAAAGGTTGATAGTGGAAAGGAAGAACTGGTAACAAGCAAACAATTCCAGAGATTTTTAATATGATATGCAGGGTCACTGCAGTCACAAACAAGTAATGCTTTTCAGCAAAAAAGAAAAGCAAAGATAAGATAGATGAAGATGGAGCAGTACAAGAACAGAACAAATTGGTCTTTGGGCGCACAGAGGCCCTGTAATCTTTCAACGGGCTGTGGAAAAAACACAGCAGGAACTGGTGACATCCAGAGGAGAGCTCAGGTGGGGAGATGCAATGCACTATTTCTGCCCTCACTAGCGCTGTTCAGACTGTGGTGGACAGTTTACCTCCCCGTGGAATGACAGCCTAATCCAGCCATGAATATTGAAGGACATGCATTTGACACCGATTCTTATCATGATGCACTGAAAAACAGTATAATTGCATGGGAGCTTGCCAATGCATTACAGACTGCAGCATTGCTTCATTAGGGAATCCATTCAGCTAGCGCTTGATGGTTTACCCTAAGAATTCTCTGGATACCTAGTTAGCACTGCATTCTGTCATTCTTGTGCTCAAAGCTGCTTTTCTGCTCTGGTATCATAGGCAGGAAGAGCAATTTTCTGGCCACTGTTTATATTTTATTTATTTATAAAACTCAGATGCCTAGCCAATAGAAGTAACATGCAGGGTGTAGGAATGTGCGTGTGAGGTCCTCTGAAACCATTGCTGCTGCTGCTCATTTGTAACCCCCTTGGAGTTGCTCGTAGTTCATAGAGCCGTCACCCAGAACAGGCTCCGGGGACCTCCATTCCTCTCCCTGCCCCAGGACTGAAACACTTGACGGCTCCACTTGACTGTTACAAAAACAGCACCATGCTCTGTATTAGGCAGCTGTTAGCTGCTCTAACAGTGAGATGTAGGATTATTTTTCTGATGAGGAGCAGGGATAAAATTAAGCATGGGTGTCCCTTAAGACTTCCTTGGATTAGGGTTGTTTTTTTTTCCCCTTGTGATCTTTGTCATTGCAAGAGTTAATGAAATACATGAAATCCCATACTAATACATCTTCAGCTTCTTTCATCATGCCCCTTTGTGGGTTCATTTTCCCATTTTCGTGCTGAGTTATCAAAGGAGGTATTGTATGACCTCGAAAGACTTCCTGGAACTGACCTCATCTGGATAACCACGTGCAGAATAAAGCCTTTGGCTGTCACGTCGCTTAAGGTTTAAGTCACACCTCCACTTTCCAAAGCATCTGCTGAATCCGTGCTGTTGGAATAGAGAGAGGCACACCAGAGCGGAGTTCTTGTGTCAGGATCGCCGTAGCAGGTTTCTCAACAGCACCTGCTCCGTTTGGCTCTCAGCTCAGTGGTTGTGAACAAACTGCCACTTGCTTGAGACACCCTGAGCCTTTCTGCAGACCGGGGTTTGGATGTGCAGCCAGCAGCTTGAATAACTGAGGGCTCTCAGTTCGGGGCTAGCCGAGTTTCTCCACAGCTGTCCTGCCATCTGGCCTGTTTCTTTTACATCATGCTTCATGTCTCATTATTCTTTTCCTATGAGCTGTCCTTGTGTCTATTAATCATCAAAACTGCTTGTTTTCCCTTGCTTGGGATTTGGTCCTGTAATCTCCTCTTCAGTTGCTTCAGAATTTTTTCAGCCACAGGGTATTTTTTGAGCTGATTGAAAAGAAAAAGAAAAAAAAAATCTGATCGGTAATACAGGTTTGAACCTCAGCTATGAGTCGTTTATATTCCCCCTCCAACCGAAGAAATTTGGGGATATATACTCCAGTCATGGTTAGACTGTAGCAAGAAACTGTGGAAAGATGACTGTCCGTCCAGGTACTGTAGGGGAGAGCAGGCTCTGGGCCTTGCTCCTCCTCGCCGAGGGATGCTGTTTCTGAGGTATTGCACAGAAAGTTAGCTGGAAATATGGGAAAGGCAGATTTTTCCATGGTGAAGCTGCCCCTTGGAGGATATCCACAAGCCAGGAGGTGCCTGAGAACAGTGAGTGGGCTTGGGGCAAGGCAGTGAAAAGGGACTTGCTTCCTTCATTGGATGCCAGAGCTGACGCCTACAACTGAGGGTAAGAGGGAGCTCCCTTCAGCTCTCCAGGGCTAGAGGGAAAGGTTGTTACAGCTGGGTGGGAAGGGGCCGTGCTGAGGAGGGCAGGGACTTCTGCTGGCTTCTCCTCTGCCTTGTCTAGTTACTTGGAAGGATTGTTGAAAGGCAGATTATCCAGATGGAATAGGAAGCCAAAGTGTGGCTCCCTTTGTGCTCAAAACTTCCGAGGAATCCAGCTATGTTAACCCGGAATCCACTTTCTTTGAACACAAGGAGACAACACTTCACAACTATTACCTCTGGAAACGTCCTCACTTTCTAAGCAAGACTTAAATTTGTTGGTGATGTTTGCAGCTCCGTTTTCTCTTCATGCTGCTGTTTCCTTTGCTTCTCATACAGGCATTCAGCGCGATTAGCTTCACATCCAGCCTCAGTTTCTCCAGCTCAGCCTGAGCTGCTTTGCTCAGGGTACAGTTTAGTGCTTTCATCTTCAGCCGTGTGTTTATCTCGCCCTCCTTGTTGGTCAGCTGTGCTTGAAAATAGTCACATTCTTTCTCTGCCTTCATGTGCTCGTCAATCTTCTGAATTCTAACTTCTGCTGATGGTCACGTCTGGAGTTTCCCCTAGCACAATCTGAGAAACAAAATGCACTCCTATTCATATGACCAAGGCAAATAAATTGACAGCTGTTTGTTTTGTTTTGTCTCAGCTGGTTAACTGCCGCAGATCTATCCCACCAGGTCTATTACAAAAGGAAATACTAGAAGTTATGAAAATACTCATGTTTTTTCCTAACCAGAGGAGTCAAATAGCTAGAGTTTTGTCCACGAAACTAAAAGCCATACATTGCTAAAGCCATACGGACATCAAGGCCTTTGACCCAGATTAGTGATAACAAGATCAAAAAGGCAGAGTGGTTACTGTGATGGGAGAGTGAGGTAACACAGAGTTTGTCATCAGTACAGGTCTAGTGCGTGGTGTTGTGCTGGGTGCAGACTTAACCCAAGGCCTTCCCTTTATGATTCTGGTGCAGCCAGGAACCAGCCACACAGAACCCAGAGTTACTGATACGTCTACCCACCAAGCCGAAGGAAATCTTAGCCTGTTAAAGTTACTACGAGGGGAATTAACATGCATTTTACATACTAACATTGTCTTTTTTTTTTCATTTTCCTGAATATATTAGCATCTCTAAGTTGAAAAAAAATATTTCTGAATGGAGCATGTGGAGTAAAGCTTGTTAATGATGACCAGCTTTCTAATTATCATCTTCACAAAATTAATCATCAATTTAAGAGGCTCCTATCCTTTCCCAGCACACAGTCCTGCCTTTTCCTTACAGCTTGCTCAAAATGCCTTCCCCTGTCACCTGTACCAAGCACCAAGTCAACAATGTGACTGAGCTGTCGATGATGGTAGAAATCTCTGGCAGGAGGATGACTGTGTCATTTTTTACCTTGTTCTTTTTCTCTCTCTCTAATTAAAGGTCTTTGGTGCTTATAAGCAGAAAAAAAAATAAAGAAAACTTGTTTCCTCTGTCTCCCCAGCCTCCCATTCGCTGCGGCAGAAGACTCTCAGATCTCACTGCTGCTGCTGTCTGTGTCAGGGGAGGCAGAGCTTCTTCCAAGTGATGCTGCATGCTACAGAGTAGTCTTAATTCACCCTCCAGAAAATCCACGATTGCCCAGAAGACCTGGAGGAGGAAAGACCTGAGAAGGAATTTGAAGGATGTTCTGGTTGAAGCTTTCTGGATGTCCATAGGGATTTTCCAATATTCTCGTACAGAAGTCCTACAAGATCAGAAAAGTTGCATGAGCATTTGTTAGCAGAATAACAAGGACTGGAGTTGTCATTTCTTTACCAAGGGAGATCTAATTATCATGGTGATGTTACTTTCTGGCAGGCATTAGAGTCCTAAGAAAGAAGCTTATGTGTAAACGTAGTAAGACAGTAAAAAGAAAGCAAGGGGAAACTGGGACATAAGCAAAAAGCAAAGCAGAAAATGTCACTAGTATCTGGCATAAATTTGAGAAGCATAGGAACTGGAAAAAGAGTAGCAATGCCAGTAGTCAAGCAACAAGATTATCAGCCCCTCAGCAAACATTTTGGCACAGCATGGTGCCTGCAAAGTTCTGGAGGAAGGAGAGATAAGATTCAAATAGAGCCAAGATAAAAGGGATCCTGCAAGGAAAGATGGTGCCCAGACAGCGCTTGGTGAGTAGGAAGATGGTGTTGTCATACCTGAGAGGAGAGGGAGAAAGGGAAAATGGGAAGAGGTTTGAGCTGCATTGAGTTTAAGACAGAACTGCATCAAACACTGAGGTATCCTAATGGTTAGATAAATGGTGAACGTGTTTTCAAGTGAGCCATGGGAAGCGCTTCTGAGTTTCTGCTTCCTTCATGCCCTTCTCTCCTCCCTGCTGAGCTGAACAGCTGAGCACAAATGTACATTTGAGATGTCTAGTTATTTTGCCTGTGGCCCTGGTGAAGCTCCATTTCTTGTGAACAATTTTAATCAAGAGAACAGCAAAGTAACAGAAGAAAAGATGAGCTATGCTTCCTTTTGCAGAATAGAAAGGGAGGCAGACTGATGCAAGCACATGCAGTCCACTGAAGCTGGATGCATGATACTGGCTTCATGTGCCAGTTATTTCACAGACACAAACACCACGCACCATTCTTAGCAGTGGGTTTAATATTCTCTGTCAAAAGATGGCAGACTTTTAAGTCAATGGGCAAACTCAAAGAGAAATTATTTCAGAACTCAAAATGTTTTGTTCAAGCAATATTAAACGTAAAAATACTAAAATAACAAAAATATTGCTACTAAACTATAACTATAATAACTAAATAATAAATGAATAAAACTAAATAATAAATAACTAAAATACTGAAAACACAAATAAAAATAAAAATCTTTTTTAAAAATAAGAAAAAAAAGAAGAAAATGACAATTCTGAAATGTAAATACCCTTTAGTGTAGAAAATAGTGTAATTTTCATTTCAGAAATATATAATAGGTATAAAAATATTGTGTTATAGAATTAAAGTTAAAGCACTCTTCTGAATATTCTGGCCTAGCACCATATTGTTGCTTTTGCTTTGTCTTCATCTATATAAGTTGTGATAGACTTTGGTGAGCTAACTTTCCTTAGGAGTTGGATAAACATTGAAGTCCTCAGTCAAGTGATGTATCCTTTTTCAGGGCAGACCTCATGCTACTTTAATAACCCACCTTGCCTACCTGAGGTGCCTAAGAGGGAGTAGTGTTTTGGCTTTTTCTGTTAATAAGTTTGCACTACTGGCACAATCCTCAATCTCATTTAAAACAGACTGAAGAGATTTCTGAAGAATATTTTCTGAAGGAAGTAGACATTAACAAAGTGTAGAAACATTTTAGCAGGTGGGCCTAGTACAATATTTGTTTCTATGTCCTTCCCAGCCTTCTTATTCTTGTCCTTGATTACTGATTTGTGGGCTGACTATGGACATATTTCCTTCATTTCCTCCTCAAGTAGTTTTTACATTTCTTTATTTGTGTGTTTCAGAATCCTGCTACATCCTTGCCAGCTGTATATCATCTTCTGTGATCTTCACGTCTTGAGGCTGTTCAGCTCCTCCAGGCTGTTTGGCAGAGACAGAGCCCTGAATGAGCTTTGGCTCATTTGGTTCATTCAGGCCATCCTTTTCCATTCATTCTCCTACAGCTTACCTACAGGTAAACCCAGCGACCTGACAGGGACCTATACAGGTAAGAACTGAAAGGCTTGTGACACTGTCTGCTAAGATTTGTCCAGCATGTAGTCCTTGGAAATGAATGGTTTTCTATCTCAAACCTTGAACTCAGCCCTTCATTGCTTTATAAATTGCCAGATAAATTGCCTAATTTCCTGAGAGAGAACCTATCCATTATTCAAATCTGGCATAGTTTTCTTTCTCTTTAGTATGTGTCTTATTCTGAGCATCACCTCTTTTCCATTTCAGCATCCTTCAGATACTGTGTGTGAAACATTTGTGACTCTGGTTTAAAGTCTTTTCCTTTCTATTTTCCTTTTATCTGCTATTATAACTGTAAGCATAGCACTTCTTGGTCATGTATTAGTAGGCATTATATTTCTTTGTTCTGGTAGATATTGATTTGAGTCCTCTAACCTCTTTTTTTTTGTAGATTTAAGCATAATACTTATACATCATATGTTTATGTTTTGAACTGGCATTTATCACAAGATTGCAACTAAAATCAAGAGTCATTTCTGGTGGAAAATATTTATTCTCATTCTCAGTTGATTTCTGGGAAATATAATGATTTTCACAAAAAAGGCATGTATCATTCATAGTCACAGTACTACTGATAAAGGCATTTTTCTGATATTTACAAAATAGCCTTATGGTTCTCTGATTCACACAGTAACATAAATGTGCTTTCCCTTTCTTTTCTTCTTTTCCTCCACAGTAGATGATTAGAAACCATAAAAATTTCAGATCTGACTTGTAAGACGCTGAGTTTCTCAGTGTGTTTGTTTCTTTCCATGAGAGAAAAGGCACATTCATAGGCAAAGACAGGCCTCTTCTACAGCCTCCTACTGTCTCTCAAAATCACAAGTATTTTTTTACTTTATTGTTGATCGACATTTTCTTAAAGATATTATGTTTCTGTTTGCAAAGCTCAATAATTTGTCTACCTTCTCTTCATGATGTTACATCTCTAACTGTTCGGTCCGTTCACCCTTCCTAAGCTCACTCCAGAAAGGCTTGCCAACGCATATGTTAGGATGATATGCTTTCTTTGCCATTATGTTGCCATGGTAGTTTATATTGGAGTAGGTATGACAGCTATAGTAAATCATTTTAAGGTGACAGAACAATTTTCATCTTTCTTCCATGACCCTGTCATTCCCCACAGTATTGTCTTTCAAATTTGGGAGTAAGGGAGACAACTGTTAACCATGATCAGCATCATACCTGAGCTGTGCTGTAGAGGCACGTGGCCACGTACTGTATGAGCGCATGATCTGCCCCTCTTCCCCTTCCCACTATCACATGATGTGGGTATTTAAGAAGATCACTAAAAGAGCAGCAAATAAGCTGAAGAATAGGGCCAAGTGCTTACCGGCTACAGACCTCCATGTTAGGATTAGAAGAAAAGCAGCAGCCACATAAGGAAATGTTGAAAAGGAAGCTATGGAAGCTGCTCCTTGAAAGAGCGTCCTTAGGCAGTTCTCGTTAGAGACTTTAGCTGACACAACAGAGAATCTGCAAGTGTTTATTGACAGGGAACAGGAGGTAGATAGCCTAGATGATAAAGATGAGCCTTGCTGGTAGGAAACCTCAGCAAGAGTAAGACTAAGGACTGAGGATGAAGCTCCTGAGCCAACTGGGAAGGCTGGATGGGTATAACTGGGCTGCTTGCAAAGTTCCTCAGTCAGTGCAAATCCCTCAAGGGAAAGGTTCTCTAGGTCTTGCCCAGCTTGCTGGGAGGATGTGAGGGGAGCTGAGAGGTGCAGTGTTTGCAGGGCTGCCCTCTGCCAAGGGGCTGCGTGCGCTGGGATGGTGCTGCATTGGCATC